CTAGGCTTCATAGCTTTTGCTCTTTATATTAAGTGTTCGAGCTTGATCGCAAAACACTCAACCAAGCAGTCCGCACCTGCTATTTGCACCCCATTTAGCATATGACCAAAAACGTGCTTCCGCCCGCCAACTCGCCTAAGCAACCCTGTACATCAAGGTCTGGGTTTGGCAACATCCCCAGCATCACCTGGACCAGGTAGCCTTCCAGGTTTTGGGGGCAAACGGTAATCGTCAACGGAGACGGCTTTCCTTTGGTGCATCCGAGCCATTCCCTTGTAAGATTGGGTTCCAAGTGGAGATGCAATAGATGCAGGAAAACGGGCCCCACCAACCATTTGCATTTGAAAGCTGGCTGGGGCAAAGTTTGCCCGAGGCTGGGAAGAGCTCGTCTGTAACAGACTCGAGCGTTGTTTGGCGCAGTCAGGGAGCTGTGGTATTTGGGTGGAAAAAGTGGGGCAAACGGTAGTCTCCGAACCCCTGGTCCTGAGGGTCGCCCAATCCCACAGCCCAGCCCAAAACTCACTTAGTATAACCAGAGCCTAGCACACATCTCCCAACCCAAACCCACCCAAAGTCAACGCTAAACCCAGCCGAATTCAGCCTGGATCGCCCCGCCGAGCCCAAATCAACCCCTAACCCCCCCAAGACCCGATCAAGGTCGTAGCCAGCCTAAAACTCACCCACAACCAACCCCGAGCTGCCACCAAATCAGAGCCTATAAGCAGGCCTTGGTCCAAGTCAGGTCGATAATGCTGAACAAGCCAACCAACCAACCAACCAACCAACCAACCAACCAACCAACCAACCAACCAACCAACCAACCAACCAGTCAGGAACCAGCCCTAAAAAACAACAGACCTAGTAAAACAAAACCTCATTCGATCTTTTCCATGGCCACCAAAAAGTACCTCGAGTGTAGTTCATCTACAATCTGATAATCATGGTGGACAAAGACAGTATCAGGTAGTGTCCACCTTGGATGAAAGAATGCACCCGAATAAAGACGAGCGGGTGGCCGGAGAAGAATAATGAATGCATCATGAAAAAGGACAAGCACCGCCCGCAGCTGCCTGTTTTGTAATTTTCTTAAATCACTCTGAACAAATGCAACTTGCCCAGAGTAATTACCTCTTAGCTAGCTTTAAACAAAACAATCAGCCAAAGTGATGATGAAGCTTCAGGCTTTGAAGTTCGACCTGGGCCTACTCCTCAAAATCCAAAGTGTTCAGCTTACCCAAACTCATGCTCTCTTGCATTTCTCTTGTTTGAAAACTGCCAGTCACACCCACAAGAGTAGTACGTCAGGCCTCCAATTTAGAAGACTTCTTTCAGCCCCTACAAAACAATTTGCCCACTGCAATGCTAGAAACTCAAGTGCACCAATACTAAATCAAATGACAACTCAACTCAAAATCTCGAAAGGAAGCTCCATCAATAGTACATCAAATGGACACTCAAATCCGCAATAATAAATCAAAGGAAACTCAAAGCAAAATCTCAAAAGGAAGCTTCCGCAATACTACTGTAAAACAAATGGAAACTCAAATCAAAGCCTCAAAAGGAAGCTCCAGGAATTCTACATCAAATGTCAACTCACATCCAGCAACACTAAATCAAACAGAAAGGCCCAAATCAAATGGAATCAATCTTAAAGGAATCTCCAGCAACTCTAAACAATTGATATTGATCTGGGCATTCGGTACGCGAACTGTGAACGCTTGCCTCTCAGCTGCAAAAAACACCCTGCTTGGCCTGTCGACTCATGTACACAGATTAGAAAACCCACGTCATCATCACAGCCAAATGCAGCGAGCCGCAGCTCGCAACGTTCTCTTTTCTTGAGGGAACCTCTCCTTTCGTGGTTTTCAAAGAGGAAAACCACAATTTTGCCGGGTCCAACCACAAAAAAGACAGGCCCATGTTAACTTATGCACCCAGAGCGCCTCCCTGACTGAGCTCCCAACCCTGATGCTCATCAATGGCCGCTGGCCAATGGGCTGTCCGGGTCCTGGCCGGGAGAAAAACTGGGTTTCCCTGGTACCTGGAACAAAGCCAGTCTAAACCAGTGCCGTCTATTTCTATCCAAACTTACCTAAAACGGACACCGATGCCAATCTCAAGCCAGCCGTACTGATCTCCACCAGGTTGTGAAAAAACTCAGTACAAGCCATGGGATAACACAAGTTCTGGGTGCCATGAATCAACGTGAGAAACGACTGGAACTCCCCAAATGAAATAATGACACGTATGGAGTGGCTTGACCCTTCATCTCCGGTGCAGCTTGTCGCCCCCTCAGCTTGCTATTTAGGTTATTGAGTGACAGGCATCGGCGCGCTGCTTGGCTGGAAGTTCGACTGAAACGCATACATTGTGCCTTGCCGTTCATTGACTTGCTTTCCGCCGGCACAGGGGCGCTCAACAAGAAAGCAAGAACAAACAAGTCGAACAGAAGAAAGCCCAAACCTACGACATCAGCACTAAAGCTCTAGATTTGCAGATTGTGGTGTTGTGCTTTGTTTTGTTGTCGTTTAACCACTTCAACGGCGTTTCTTCTTTCCGGTGCCAGGGGGTCAAAGGCTCCAAGCCCAACTTGCAGCAGACACGGTGACGCCATCTGTCAATCTGCATCACTTCATCACTTCGCGGGATTTGTTTTGCACACCTTGTGGCATCCATGCGTTTCCGAATAAAACATGCAGGCTTTGACTTGACGAGGTCGACACGTGACACATGCAGTGCAGGATTTCACGCCAATTCCTGCAACTCACCTGTTTCCAGAACACGCTGCACATCTGTCGTTTTGGCAAAGAACGCACTGCACCACGCGCAGTTGGTCAAACAGTGGCCAATGAAGGCTTGCAGTTCATTAGCATGACCGCAGCCAGCCTTGCGTCACAGGTAAGGTCTGATACAAACACATCTACCATGGAAAAACACGCAAGCAACATGGGTGTGTCTGTTTTTGGAAGGTCCCCCTTTGTGGCTTACAGGGAAACTAGGAGGAACATCAAATTTGTGGGGTTCCCCAAAACAAGACATAACCACATAAGGGATGGCAAAGGCCAACTCGCGTAGGGATTGGGTGGGGACCATCCCCGAATCTACACTTATTGGAGGTTTCTAATAGAGCTGAAGTAGAACAGCTCATTGCCGTCCAGCGTCCAGGGCAAAGAAATCAAAAGCGGAAGCCAACGACGAAAAAGGAACACAATCCCTGCGAAATGAGAAATACTAGTATCATATTTTAGTCGTTTTGCCGATGGTCATCCCATGTAAAGGACCTTCTTGATCAACCCAAAAACGGAGGAAACCATTCGTATGGCACGGCCAGACCTGCCTCCAGTTTTGCCCATTTTCCCCATCTTGCCCATGCCCTTCATGCCCATCGCATTCACGTCGCCCTTCTCACCCTTACCCATGGCATTCATGCTCATGACGTTGTTGTTCACGCCACCCATCGCCATGCCCATTCCCATCTTCCGGGCCATGCCCATGCTGCCCATGTTCATCTGGTTCTGAGCATTGCCCATGCCCTGCATCTTGGCGAACGCGGAGGAGGACACAGAAGTACCTCTGTGGACGCCAGAGGGGCGACCTTTTCTGTTTCTCCAAAGTGAAGTAGTCTGATCCACCCATCACGTCTTGAGAATGTTCTACAAGAATCCAAGGGCCACATGCAGGAGCTACCAACTTCCAACCAAGCCGTATGTGCAAGGAGCATCAACACTCCCTAGGAGCCCTACGATTTGTGCCAGGCCTTCCATCATGTGGACACTTCAGGGAACATTCGGGTCTCCCAGAAAACGGAAACGCACCTGGCACAGCAGATTTCGACACCTGCAAGACTCGTTGGTAAAAGCGAAGCAAAGGCGCACCCATGCCGCTGCTTGCCTGCACAACGGGCGCGGATTTGGAGGACATCGTTTGGGTTGGGTGGGCTGACTGCGTGCTCGACGTACGGATTGCCTGTTCAAAAGCGCGTACTATGATCATGTTGTCCTGAAATTGCACTGCAAGAAACTGAGACGTATTGATTTGAAACATTGAATGGTCCATTCAACATCAGCCATATTGATTCCCTGTTCATATCGAATTTTCGACATCAAAGCAAACATCTCGGACATGAGGTATGAATCACGGGTTTGGGCCACGTGTGCTTTGAAGGGCATGGATTCCAGTACCAAAACAGCTACATAATTTCCCTTCTCCAGGTAGCCCGAGCAAGTAAACCAACCAAGCAACAAACAAACCATAGCAAACCAACCAAATCCAGCTCTATCTGCTACGGTGGAGGCCGATGTCAGGACAAAGCATATAATATAGAAAACATGCATGCATTTAGTTCTGTGACACTTGCCAAACACAGTAGAGTTCAAGTTTACTTCTTCCCCCACCATGCAACCCTAGCTCGCAACCAAGTGCATGCCTCTATGGGAGGAACGCACCAATTGAAAGCCACACAAAGTAGTGCGTCGCGAGCTCTGTGAAGGTGCAGCAAGGACTTTCTCTGAGTTTTGCCCCGCCCAGGATCAAAAGCTGGTGGCAAAGCTGGATTGCCATCATGCGTCCTCGGGCGGCTGAGCCTGTTGCTCACCAAAAGAGAAAACTGCCATCTTTCGTGGCGAAGCTTGCGGATCCAGCTAAGCAATTGCTGGTGGCAGCCAGTTGCCAATCCCAACAAAAAGATGGTAAATTCGTCAATCCCTACGCGTGAGGGCTGATAGCCAGCAAAGGCTCGTAACTGGGTGCAGAGAAAGCTACACGCACCGCGGCCTGCCAGCCTGCGTCCAAAGCAAGGACTGTACTTTGGTACCGGCAAAGCGCGGCAGGTCGCAGTACTTCTCAAGAATTCGGATTCGGAATGCATCGAATTGCTGTATACCGCGATCCAGCCAGCATGGGACCACCTTGGGTTAAATACCTCATGGCTTGTCTGTTCAAGGCCGTTTGCCCCCCCGGATTCATCCGATGGTTCGTCGGCTCGGCTTCACGGCTTGATTTCAAGGCATGATGGCATCCTCTGCATCCTCGGCAAACAATCCACGCAAAAGGCCTATATACCAGTTAAATATTCATGCTAGAATGACGGCGCACATGGCGCAACAGTGAATCATAAATGCAAGAGGTATCAGTATGTATGATGTATCACTTGCCAAATTCATGCAGCATGCAAACAATATCCTGAATTACAAGTCTGCTGCAAACGATGATCCGTCTCAGGACCGAGCTGACTTGACCGTGACCACTGAGCATCGTATGATAGAATGAGCTGCAGTGGGATTTACAAAGCTGCAATAAAGCAACCGCACCCCATTCCGGTAAAACTAGCTTGTGATTGCTTGGCGTGAAACAGTAACGTCCTATCTCAAGGGGATTGCTGTTGCAAAATAACTGTCCATGGGTTCAAATGGGTGTGTCTTTTTTTGGGGGACACCACCCCAAAATGGAGTCTTTCCTCTTGGTTTTCCTTAAGCACAACAAAACGAGATATCAACCGCAAAACCGAGACACCATCGTGAATCTCAAGGGACCTCACGGACCTCTGATTTCCTCGCCAGTGGCTGGCACAGTGCGCATGAGTATCCTCGATGAGGGGAGAAAGGCTGGAGGCTACATCCGTCCCGAATTTGATTGGACACCCAGTCATTGTTGCGCATAGATCATAATGATCCAGGTGAGGGAATTTGCAAACCCTCGCGCTCCCAGTCTCACGGCAGGGCAGAGGTAGCTTCCCGCATGGAACATATTGAACATGCCCCAAACAGGGATGTTTCATTTTTGCTTTTTTTGAGGCGGCTCGGACCAGGAGAACTTGGATTCCTCCGCATGGGTGTGGCGCCTTTGGAGTTGCTTATTAGCTTTAAAGGGGAACCACAAGGAAAGCAACCAATGTTGGGGGGGGGAGCCGAGAAAGAGACAAACACTCACAAGCTGGCTTTGCTTCTGTCCAGCCTTTGGTTTTCCTTTGGAACATATTTTTGCGGCGGCCAGGCCGCATCGCAGGAGATGTCGTTGTAGATGCCTCCAGAGCCCGGGCCGCAAAAGCGGCACTGCGCGTTCACGCCGTCGGCCCAGCATCCTGAGAAAGAAAAAAATAGAAAAACAAACCTGTTGTTATCTTGTTATCTGTTTATTTCAAACCAAAAAATAGAAATACATACAGCCAAAAAAATCAGAGCGCCATGCAATGCAATCACTTCCCAACAGGCATTTTGAAGCTACCCTTTATGGGATGCTTCTAAAATGAAACCAACAGGAGGGCCACTTGTTTTTTTTCCCTTTTCGGGTTCCCGATTTTGAAACAAGCGCCAAGTGTTCTCGAATTAATCTCGCCGGAAACCAATGCACAAGCACTGAGCTAAGCCAATGACACGGCACCAAGCAGCAGTACAAATCGTGAAAAGATGGTTGCTTCCTGCTAGTAACAGTCGGTATCTGGAAATTGCACAAAAAACATACTTGAATCCAGAAAGAAGTGCCAAGTTGGGCCAGGAGCGAAAGAAAAGGGTAAAGCTTCAATCAGGGTATCCTGATGTGCGCGTTTGTTTCCCAAGAAAACAGTTAACAGCTTGGACAAAGCAAATGCACACTGCACGCTGCCCAAGTTAGGCCTTCATTGCCTTCATGTTATGTTCCCTATGATAGGCGAAAGCACTGACAGAAGGAACCGCTGAACCGCTTGGCTCCTTGCTCAATATGTCTGTTGATTCCGTGTACAGGCTGCCCAAGGAAAACAAAGCTGGTAACAAACGGTGTGGGCAAGAATAGCGTCATAAGTCACAAGTGGATAATACTGGACCCCACACACAAAGCTCCCCCAGTCTTGAGATGCTTAGAGCTCCCCAACATGCATTGCATGCAAATGGAAGACTAGCGTGACTGATGTTGTTCTAAGTCTGTAGACCAATGCCTCTCCCGACATCTCTCGAAACTGCCCTTGCCGAGCGTCCCTTCTTGCCCCACTTGCAGCTCTTGTCCCACTTGTGGCTCTGAGGGGTTCCATTGGGAAACCAGCATGCACCGTCAGGGTATGCTGGTCGAGCGCTCTCTGGGCAATGAATGGGGTTAAACGGCTGGTAGTCGCAGAACCGGCACTGCACGTGGATGCCATCCGCATTGCACCCCAACCTGCATTTGCCGTTCGGCTCTGTGTGTGTGGGTGTGCTCCAAGGAGAGTGTATGTATGTGTGTGTGTGTGTGTGTGTCTGTGTCTGTGTCTGTGTTTGTGTGTCTGTGTGTGTGCGTGTGCGTGTGCGTGTGCGTGTGGGTGTGGGTGTGGGTGTGGGTGTGTGTGGTGTGTATGTGTGGTGTGTGTGTGTGTGTGGTGTGTGTGCGTGTGTGCGTGTGTGCGTGTGTGTGCGCGTGTTCGTGTGCGTGTGCGTGTGCGCGTGCGTGTGCGTGCGCGTGTGCGTGTGCGTGTGCGTGTGCGTGTGCGCGTGCGCGTGCGCGTGCGCGTGCGCGTGCGCGTGCGCGTGCGCGCGTGCGCGTGTGCGTGTGCGTGTGCGTGTGCGTGTGCGTGTGCGTGTGCGTGTGCGTGTGCGTGTGCGTGTGCGTGTGCGTGCGTGTGCGTGTGCGTGCGTGTGCGTGTGTGCGTGCGTGTGCGTGTGTGCGTGTGTGCGTGTGTGCGTGTGTGCGTGTGTGCGTGTGTGCGTGTGTGCGTGTGGGTGTGTCTGTGTGTGTGTGTGTCTGTGTGTGTGTGTGTGTCTCTGTGTGTGTGTCTGTGCGTGTGTGTCTGTGTGTGTGTGTCTGTGTGTGTGTCTGTGTGTGTGTGTGTCTGTGTGTGTGTCTGTGTCTGTGTGTGTGTGTGTCTCTGTGTGTGTGTGTCTGTGCGTGTGTGTCTGTGTGTGTGTGTGTGTCTGTGTGTGTGTCTGTGTGTGTGTGTCTGTGTGTGTGTGTCTGTGTCTGTGTGTGTGTGTGTGTGTCTGTGTGTGTGTGTCTGTGTGTGTGTGTGTCTGTGTGTGTGTGTCTGTGTGTGTGTCTGTGTGTGTGTCTGTGTGTGTCTGTGTGTGTCTTGTGTGTGTGTGATTGTGTGTGATTGTGTGTGTGATTGTGTGTGTGATTGTGTGTGGGTGTGGGTGTGGGTGTGGGTGTGGGTGTGGGTGCGTGCGTGCGTGCGCGCGTGCGTGGGTGGGTGGGTGGGTGTGTGTGTGTGTGTGCGTGCGCTTGTGCGTGCGCGTGTGCGTGTGCGTGCGTGTGTGCATCTCACGGCCAATGCTAGAAGAGTTCAGAAGTTCAAGAAGTGATTGCACAATAAGTTAAAGGGCTCCATTCGGCAGGAAACTGGAATGACAAACGTGTTTGATGTAAAGAAATCCAGCCAGCCTGGGGAAACTGCTCACTTTCATTCAACAATAATTTTGATATTTCGGGGGGACGAGCAAAAGCTACAATGGCAACACAAAACAATGGCAGTGATACCGACAATAACCACAACATCATACAACAAGCACCACAACCACCACAATCACCAACCAGGAACAACCACACCAGCACCGCCCCCACCTCTACAACAACAGCCTCGTCAGGAAAAAAGCAATATATATATATATATATAAAATAACGAGACCAGCAAATACAATAAACACCCCAGCAACAGTAGCGGCAGCAGCCAATGACATCCAATGACCATTTAAACGAATCCTCAGCCTCTTGAACCTGTTGATTGTCAAACACATACCGTATGCCAACTGGACAGTTGGCATATGTGCCATGGTAGAAGCAAAATACCTACAAAGCCAACTGACATAATACGTAAATGACGCATAGCAATGTAGCTCTCTCTGACCGCTGACAAATGACAAAAATGGGGACCCTCCCACTCACTTCATTCGACAGACTCTGGGCTCAGCGGCTCATGTCACTTGGCCCGAGTGGCATTCCCATGGTGCATTTGGACTCCCAGTAGTAGGGCGTAATCCTTAGCAAGGGCGCGCCGGTCAGCACCTCCAACTTTTGGAGGGGGGCCCATCGCTTTTCCATGTTTCAAACAACTGCAGCTGTCCGTCTTGAAAGCCGCAACTTTGCGAACTTTGTAGTACAAGTATAGTACAAGTATAGTACAAGCATAGTAAGTACATGATGACATCATGTTGATCAATGTATTCTCTGTACCTGCGGTTCAGGACACTCGCAATGATGTTGACTGGCTTCGCTATTGAATGGCATTCAACATGCGGTGACGGCCACAAGAGCTTGAGTCTGTCTTGACCAGAAAATGACCGTGATGCAACACCATTGGTGTCCACTAACCGTAATTTCCTGGCCTGCAACGGATTTCACCCCAAGATAAAGCACACCTCCCCCATGCAGAGCGGTGCTATTGTAGCCGTTGGGCTCATCGTTGCCGAGACGCGGCTCATTGTCGAAGGTGCATGAGGAGCTGGGGCACGGAATGCTCGCATAGTCCCCATCACCGCAGAAACGGCAGTGCACATTCTTGTTATCCGCAAGGCACCCCAAGTCTCCCTTCTTGCAATCCGGGTCCCAGTAGTACCTGATGAACATATGCTTGACATGTTGACCGCTGTATACGACTTTCGGGCTAGTTGGTACTTACTACCTGTCTGCTGTGCACCTCCTGCTATACACGCTAGCATCCTAACATTGTGACTTTGTTTAAATGGCCCGTCCTTATCACTTGGCCGCAGGTTAAGCTATGTAACCAATTGACTTCAGCTTGCGCGAACACCGCTCAGTTGCTTGGGAAGAAACCTAAAGCCTCCGCTGTACCTGTTTGCCCACGAGAACAGTTGTATATGATCATGCCCAATAACACCACGATTGGAGGAACACGGCACAAGTCGTCCTGCTTTAGAGAGCTGTCGCTTCAGTACGCTGTTCTTACGCTCCCCTTATCGCATCAAAGACATTGCCAGAGAGGTGGCGCCCAAAGGTCTCCAAACCCAGGCGCGGGGTGACCGGCGGGTTGTCGAAGTGGCAGGTGTAGCGATAGGGCACAATGGCATCATCCGGACAGTGGAGGCCCAAGTAGGGTGCCTCACCACAGAACCGGCACTGCCCGTGGACCCCGTCCTCGGCGCGACGCGACGAAAAAACCAGGCTTCTGAAGCACCAGATTCAAATAAAGAAGAAAGGATGAGTGCAACTTGAAGGCAAACATTATACGTATAATAATATGCACATATATTACAATATGTATACATATATATATATATAACTATATATGTATGTGAAATATCATATATACACACACATTCTACAGTATACCCCTGTTGCCTGGGGCCACGTTCAATTGGAGCACTGCCAGGTCCTATGCGAGGGACCTGGGCTGAAAGAAGCTCGCCGCATCCAAATCATTCATAGACTGAACACGCAGAATGTCAGTGCACACAAGTTGGGTATGACCAGGGTAACAAGTTCCATTCAGTCAGGATACATCAAGGTGTACTTTCAGGGGTCGCCGGCAATCACAGCAAATGACGCATGGCCAGGGGTGAACAGCAAACACCCACTAGCATCTGCCCATTTGGAACAAACACACGTATATAACAGTGTCATTCCTACGTGACATGGTTGTTTTTCCTCAGCCGGATGTGCAGTGGAAGGCAAACTCACCGAAGAGCTGAGGTCGCCACAACACGACGCACATGCAATGATAATATGCCCGTGTTCACAACATGTGCCCTCAATTCAATGTGTCAAACGAGCCTTCATGGCTTTCTGTGGAACAGTGTCATAGTCCTTGACAACGCAAAACGCCATGACTCATGACTTTAGTTTCTAAACACGAATTGCGTGACATTGCGTGTGCTTGTTTGCTCCAGGTGTGTGCACTCAAACAAGCAAACATCAACAACTGTGTTTGGCTTGGGGATGCCATGTTGCAGAATTGCCAGGTATGTCGTCTGGAACAGCCTCCCCCACAGCGGCTGTTCACTGTTTCCCTCATAGAGTGGGCACAAGGGCACGACTTTTCCCGAACAAATCTTTGTCACCAAGCTTCCCTACTGCAAACCAATGAGTACAACCCCCAAAACTTTGAAGGGAGGTGCCAGTTGTTTAATGACAGGCTCACTGAAAGGAAACTACTTGTTGCCAAAGTACTCTTGGGCTCCAAGTTTGCAAAAGCAAATGCACCCTTCAAGCAGCCGGCTCTTCTGAAAGCAGTCGAAAAAGAAGACAAATGCGGGTGGGACCTCAACAGATTCCCCATCATTGCTGACCTGCTTTCATCTGAGATGTTTGACCACTACCTGCAAGCTGCTTAACTCGACCCGAAAGACTCTCGCATTTTTGCTTCTCCCCCAACCAGGTAATCGGCACATTTGAGCACAGCCCAACAACACTTGAGTGCTATTTCGAGAAACGGCACAGACACAGCCTCCATTCCTCAAGCTTGGTCGGAGGACATCAGATCCAACATTTTCCGCCTCGCTTTCAGTAAGACGTCGAAGGTGTTTGCATGGGTGTCAAGCAGTGTCCATTCATATCCACATGTTGTGCCGAGTAACCAGCATATGTTGTTTGGATGCTAAGGCCCTGAGCAAATTCAGGATCCTCCTGGAGCGCAATGTTAAAAGCAGTGGCCGCCTGATTCCAAGTTCTGGGAACACACGGGTTCCTGAAACGCTACTCTCAATGTCTCTCAGGGAAAAAAACACATGCCTTTTGCTGCAACCCCCTCCGCCTCCGCTCTGCCCAAAACTTGATCACGCATAAACATGCACACGCAGAGACACGAAAAGACAGAAAATATGGCCAGGCTGTGGTGCTATACAACTTATGCATATATCATATATATATATATATATGTATGGTGTATATATATATATATATATTAAATTATATATATACATAGTATAATATATACATGGATACTCAGAGGCCGTGTCCATGTGCGCCATCCACCCAGTTCTTTTCTCCAAGCATCTGCCCAGCAGCCCAGGGACTCGCCATTGACGCAGGACTCGTCCCAGTAGTAGGGCATCTTGGCTTGGAGTCAGCTGCCAAAACATGGAGATCACACAGGGTATCTTCAAGCGAAGCGCCAGAGGGGCCCTGGTTCCGGTTGCCTTGTGTCCCATTTTTAAGCAGAGCCTCGGAGGGAATGTGTGCGAAGTCACTCTGAGCTACCACGGGCCTCCTGCGAGGCAACCCTGCAACACACGCCTCGAATGTCGAGACAGAAGCGCTTCAATGATGAACCCCCTCATTGCTGGGTCATGGCCGCAGCAAGCGCAGGGGGTCACAGTTGCCCCCCAAAAAAATGCAGCGAAGCAATCTTGAAAGGCTGGTAAATGGCTGCAACAAGAGGACAGCGGGAGTGCCCCTCAGGCTAAGTCTCCCAAACTCGAGCTTCCGTCTGCGCCCTCCCCCGCATCCCGCACATCAAGCTCGCGTTCAGGGCGCCACTGGTGGATTGACGAAGGTGCACTGCTCCGCTGGCACCCACTTGTGCGGCTTGTCTAAGTCATCGTGCACGATGCCGGCCCAGCACGTCCTAAGCGTACAGCAGAAACCAACATCAAAACGTCGCTGAGTCGTCCCACCCAGGATCAAAACCAAAGCCGAATACCACCATGATTGCACATGTTAAGTGCAACTGACACCTTGGCCTTGTTTTTCTGAATCTGTCACGCAAACACACACACACACACACAGTCACACACGCATCGTGCTTCTGAGTGGACACCCATGGCCTTCACAACGCATGAGCGGGCTTTCCTGCACAGCAAAACTGTTTCTGAACAAAATACACCTGTTAAGGAAGAGCCTGCCGCTTGCCGAGTGAGTGACACCAGCTGCAGGAAGTACAGAGAACTTCGCCCTGACATCGCAGCAGCAGGACCAAAAATTAAAAGGTGCCGGCAAAGAGGGGCCTTGAGCCTAAATTCGCAATGCGAACGCATCCATGCAACGTGATGCAGCGTGTGTGACACATACAAGTCTGTGTAGAACGGGCTGGGGCAGTTATTTTTGTTTCTTACCTAGGAAAGTAAAGTCAGTGTACTTATGTGGCAGCATTCCAACTAGGCTTCCAGCACGCATGAACATTTCATGAGACGGTGAGAAGCAAGGCATTGATCTGAATGTACACATGTTTTTTGTTTTGCAGATTTCGCAGTACTTACAAGCGCTCAAAGCATATTCAAGCCACTTGCAGCTTCACTGAGACCCTCAGAGTCCCCCAGAGGTTTGGTTTGGAAAAGCGCCCGGTACTTGCGGCAATGCCTGCGTCGCATTCATCTGCCGGTTGGCACCTCAAAGCTTGAGTCAGTCCAAGAGCATGCCACCTGGTGACATGAAAACTTCAAGCTCCGAACGCTGCGCTGCGCTCCCGGTTCGGTCTGACAACCCAAGAGCAATGCATTCGTATTTAAAGACCCATATGGTTGAGGACCGCCGTTGGCACGCCAACGTGCTGACTCTTACGAGCCCTCCGCCCTTCGCATCCGGTCATGAGGCTGCGGCCAGAAAACCCGGAGCCATCCTGCACTGCCGGCGAAGTTACGGCAAGCAGACCAGGTAAACATGCCACGCCCAAGTTCTTGCGAGATGGACTTGGACCAACTCTCAAAATCTTCATCGCTCCCAGTCCCCTGCCTGTCTACCCATGAGGTTGGAGCCTGCACGGAAAGGCCAGATGGGTTTGGCTCAACATTGGACCTCCAAAATGGCAACTGCTTCCTTTTGGATTGACATTACCTCCATTTGCTTAAGTCTCCCAGAAAACAAAAGTCCAGTAGTAATATAGTCTCTTTAAAACCAACAGGGGAACATGAAAAACATGTTCTTAAGCAAATGGACGATTTTAAACAACCATGAAGTTTCTAACAACACATGGGGAAGGAGAACTAAAGACGGGGTTGCTGTCCCCAATGGCCTACTGCGTTGACCCTTGACCCCTTTTTGCCCGGGAGAGGCATCCTCAAAAATAGCTGTGGGGCTTTGGGGTGTAGAAGCATGCCAAACGGAAAATCTGGTTAGCCGATTTGGTACCCAGTCTAGGCCCAATCGCCCGGTAACCCTGAAAGGACACCTTTTTTCGGGGCTGACAATTTTTGGCAAGGGAATTAGGATGCCATGGGTGCTGAAACAAAAGGAATCAGGTGGACTTCTCCGTTTGCCCTGCAAACCAAGCCCGGGGTTCGTAGCCGCCCTGGGTGGCGCGGGGCAGACCCGTTCACTTTGGGATCTACTCGAATGGTTGTAAAGGTTGATATCACCTGGTTGATATCACCCTTACTTCTTTCACGTTTATAAAACCTGGTAGAAACACTTGCTGGTGCTTGCTGGTGCTCAGTAGGGAATGTTGGAATGAGGCCAGGATTTCCCTCAAGGAAACCACCAGCAGGATGGTAGAAAAGGGTCATGCCCTCGTTCCCCTACTTCACCTTTCAACATTCCTGGTCGAACCATCTGCTGAAATCACCACTTGGATGGTGTATAGGGATCCTTCCCTCAATCCCGTATCTTATATAAACAAATGTAGTAGAAGAACCATCTGCTGAAATGGCCCTGGGAGCTTTGGACGTTCTCGCGCAAGGCCTCCAAGATTGCCTAGCAGCCCAGTGGAGGAGCCTGAGACGTCGGCATGCCGACCGAGGGCCCGGGTCTTCAACAACAACCAGCTGAGCACGGAAATGACGCAGAAACACAGATGCACAAATCCAGACTTGATGCTTTCCGCAACCAATTTGGTTTTCAACAAGTTCAAAGCTCCTAAGACTTTACAATGAAAAACCAGGTTTAACGCACCCTGACAACAACGGGTATCTAGAGTAGGGGTAGATCTCACTTGGTCTTCTCTCCAGCGTGGCGGTTGAGCCACACCGGTCGGCTCGATCTATCCCGCCTCCAAGAGAGCCGCTCAGCAGCCCGCTGCCAGAGTTGGACTCCTGAATTGCTTTCATTGGTGCGCGACGCGACGTGTTGAATCTTCGTAGCTGGGCTGCCCGTTTTCTGATCCCCGGCCAAAAGTGAGTCCTAACTTTGGATGGGGACTACCACTAGGTTTTCTGAAACTGGTTGGAGTTTAGCTTTTTGTCTAACTTTGGTTTTCTCATCCCCGGTTGAATGGGATTCACCACTAAACCCGGAGAACCTCGAAAGCTAAGGAGCCGGGAGCCATGGAGTCAGCGAGATAAGCAACTCGATCGCCGAGATCGAACTCGGACACTCTCCTCCCCAAGTGACACGCACGCGGCATGGGTGTGTCTTCTAAGTGGGCGGGACTCCCAAAGATGGCGAGCTTTTCCCTCTGAAGCCAGTCTAAAAGGGGAATCCTCCAGTAAAACAAACCCACATGTGTGTGTGTGTGTGTGTGTGTCTTTGAGTCATCTGTCCTGAGCCTGCCCCTGCCCATATTGCCACTCCTGAGGCATTGGCTTCAAGCTGACCAAATCTCTCAACGCCCTCAAAGGGCCCACAAGCCAGATCATGCACACTGGTTGGCTGCTTGTTTGGCTGCTTTTTTGGCTTGTTGGTTGGCTTGTTGATTGGCTTGTTGGTTGGTTGGTTGACTGGCCAAATCATTTGCGTTTTGGCTCTCAATAACCTTTATGTTTTAGTAAGGGTGGTACCCCAATGGAGCGGGGTGTCAGCTGCCAAGTAGATCTCGAATTACGGGGATTCAACATCCATCGGGCCTGGGGATTTTGGGCCCGAACCATCTGTGATCGATTCATATACACTCCTGCAGTTCTCTTCTCCCCTGCGTCTGAGGCTTTGGTGAAGTGACAACACCAGCCTTGTTGACCCAAACAATTTGTGGTTGGCCCATGAACCAAACAACGGCCGATTCCTCTCCGTCCAATGGCCACATTCAGTGCAAGAAACAGTACCATGTGCTCACACGCTGTATTGCAGTCGCTGGACCACTGACGATGGGTTTGCACCATAGTCCAATCATTCGTCGGCGGTGTTGCAAGGTAGAACTCTTATTCTATTGTGTGAGCGGGAACACGCCCGGCGGCCGGTGGCGGTTGTGCGCTTGCGCCTTACAGTTCCCAACCATTCGCAGACCACCAAAGGATCTTCATCGTGGGTAGGATGCTTTCACCCGCAGGTGAGCTGGTGGTGATATCCAAATACATGCCGGACACAGCTGAGGCTAGTCGCACAACATGAAGCCCGGCAAAAAGCGGCTGCACCAGTTGTTCATCTTCTAGTGATCCAGTTGCAACATGCGGCCGCTGGAAACAGGAAACTCCACCAGGTGTCCCATCCAATTCGCGAAACTCAGCCGGCCTCCCAGGAAGCCTGGCGGTCAGAAAAGTGGCCGGCCCAGCTCAAAACACACCCTGCCCACCAAACAAGCCTCCGGTTGATTTGACTATTCAACATGGCGTGTCTCTGGAGGGTCCCCAAATTTGGGGTGTGACACTGGGTGAAAGCCCGCTGAGTTAGTGAACCAAACGCCAAGGATCGCAAAACAAATCAATCTCTACTTGCCCATATTATCCGCAACATAGCCACAACTAATATAACATGACGCCATCATGACTCCCAACAAGGGTTCGACCTCCGGCATTGAAACGGTCGCCGGCGTTGATTGACAACTAAAATGCGAATGCCAAGACCTGCCAAGTTGAGTCAATGATTGATGCTCGTCTCCCTGAAACATCACCCGTATACTGCGGGAAACTCACCCACCAAAAAAGAGGCCGGCCAAAACGGAAATATGGGGAGTGTGAGCCTCGATGCAAACCAACATCTCGCGTTGGACAGGCAATGGCTGCTATATTTGCGTTCGATTTCGGAAACAAACTTCTGCCAAACGGCATATTTTTGATGACCAGCGTGAAACTAACCTGGTGACACCCCCAGACTCCCAGCGAATGCTGGATCAATCAGTAGCGCTTGATACAATGCAACTTTACAACTCGTGTCCCACATCCTCGCCTTGGGGGGTGGAGAGCACGGCAACAAACACACACACACACACAAACACATAGAGTTAATAACACAAGCGGAACACATGTGATCCTGAAATACTTGCCGTGTAGAAAGCCAAATCACTAGGCTTTTTTCAATACAAACATTTTCACCATTCCCGGGTACAGGAGGGCAGCCATCCCAACCCACGCCCAATCCCTCGCCTGACTCTGCTGCTGGCCTTGCTGCCAGGGTCTCTGCTGCTGGGTTTGTTGCCACTGGCTCTGCTGACCTTGCTGCATGCTTTGCTGCGGCATATCTTGTTGCATACCCTGCTGTTGCTGTTGCAGCATACTTTGCTGCTGCTGTTGCTGGCTTGGCTGCAGCATGCTTTGCTGCTGCTGCTGCTGCTGTTGCAGCAGCTGCTGCTGAAACTGCTGGCTTTGTTGATACGAGCCCTGCTGCCCGTGCTGCTGGCTTTGGGCATGGAGTTGGCTCTGGCTCTGTTGCTGGCCCGACTGCTCAGCCTGGTTTGACCGCTCCTTCGCGAATGCACTCTCAGCACATGCCTGGTAGAAACAACGCGCGACAGGCATGCAGTCACATACGGGGTGTTTCTCCAGGCGTCCCTTTTTGGATGCTTTCAAGGGCAAACTAAAAGGATTAACCACCTGATAGGGTCCCCAATGTCGAGAAAGTCCCATACACTCACCAGCATATGCAGCTCTCTGTCCATGTACAGCTTCTGCACGCACTGCGCGTAGAAGGTCCAAATGGCGCCCTGCACTTCGAAAGCCGAATGACCAAAGTAAGTGTACAGTATGTAAGTCCATAATTGGAAGTGATTGGAAGTGTGTTTTACTCCTGTGCTAGCGTCAACCGCTAGTAAGTTTATTAGCCAATCAATGACCTAATTAGATTGCTATGTCGGTCGTTTGTTTGTTTGGTCAGTCGACGG